AGATCGGTATCTGCTCCCCATGGTCCTCTCGAACCAGGACTTCGCTGATTGCCGCGCTGGAGACCGCAACGTAGAGTAGCAGAGTGTCGCCGTACTCAGGTTTGGCCAGGATCGGTGGTGTCGAAAGGTAGGTTTTGAGCTGTACGAATGCGTCTTCACACCTTTCGTCCCATTCGAATCGATTGTTGCCTCGTAGGAGTTGATAGAAGGGAAGACACTTGTCTGTAGATCGGGATATAAATCTGTTTAGCGTGGCTATTCTTCCTGTTAGGCGCTAAACTTTGCGAGTGTTAGTTGGCGAGGGTAGCTCCAAGATCGCGGAGATCTGCTTAGGATTGGCTTCGATGCCATGCTGAGTGACCAAGTATCCTAGAAATTCGCCGGATGTGACTGCGAAGGTGCATTTTGCGGGGTTGAGTTTCATGCCATATTGGTTCAGTATGAGAAAGCATTCTCGCAGATGGATAATATGGTCGGCTGCTTTAGCTGATTTGACGAGCATATCGTCTATATATACCTCCATCGTCTTCCCAAGCTGGTCGGCGAACATTTTGTTGACCAGGCGCTGGTAAGTGGCTCCAGCGTTTTTCAATCCAAATGGCATGACCTTGTAGCAATAGGTGCCCCGATCTGTGATGAATGCGGTCTTCTCGCTATCGTCCGGATTCATGAGAATCTGATTATATCCTGAGAATGCATCCATAAAGGAGAGTAACTCGTTGCCTGCCGTAGCCTCGACGAGCTGATTGATACGAGGAAGATGGAAACTGTCCTTCGAGCAAGCTTTGTTAAGGTCGGTGAAATCCACGCAGACCCGCTACTCGCTGTTTTTCTTTTTGATGACCACCGGGTTGGCGAGCCAATCCGGATACTTTACTTCGGCGATTGATCTGGCCTTCAGGAGTTTATCTACTTCATCGTGGATGGCTTGTGCTCGCTCAGGTCCTAACTTTTGTCGCTTCTACTTGATCGGCTTGAAGGTTGGGTCGACGTTCAATTTGTGACTCGTTATTCGGGGGTTAATGCCCTTCATGTCGGCCATGGACCACGCAAACGTTGCGACGTTCTCTCGGAGGAAACTGATCAGCTTGTCCTGCATGCTAGACAACAGTTCTGTGCCGATACCGACGCAACGTTCCGGGTGGGCAGCATCGATGTTGACTTGGGCGATAAGATTGCTCTTCGGCTGCTCGTCGTGATGAACGATCCGTGGGTCGAAATCACTACTACTACCGATCACGAACGTTGATGCTTTTCAGGCGTGCTTGTTGTCGATGTAACAATGTCGGGACACTGTCTGGTCGCCACAGATGGTGATGACACGGCTCCTGATCGGCATCTTGATGCATTGATGGTAAGGAGAAGGGACGGCCTGCATGGCATTCAGCCATGGTGGTCCAAGGATGGCGTTGTAGATCGCAGGTCGGTCAATAACCTCGAATTTGACCGTAATTGACTTCCCGCGTATGGTGACAGGCATCGTTATAGTTCCTATTATCGAAATCGAGTCTCCAGCGAATCATGTGAGCGGTGATGGTGCGACTTTGATGTCCCGCTTGGGGATACTCATCTTGCGTAGAGTATCCATGAAGATGAGGTCGACCGAACTTCCAGTGTCGATCAACACTTTGGAGACGTCGTCCTCTCCGAGTCGTAGTGAGATGACGAGTGGATCGTTATGAGGTCGGTCGATGTCATGCACGTCCTGCTCTGTGAATGTGATCGGTAGGTCGTCCTTGAACAGTAGTGGTGCATCCTTCAGGGGATTGGCTGCCTTCCGTTCGTGCTGTTTAATTGAATTTATCAAGTCAGTGCACGAGAGGAGCCCTACCTTGATCATGTTGATCCGCCGACGTGGTGAGCTTGGAGGTGTGTGATCGTCTTCACGGTCACGCTTTGCTTCCTTGCCCTCGCGTTTAGAAGAGCGATCGATGTTATCTCTTCTATCGCGATCGTCATCGGGTCGCCTGTCCTCATCGTCGGATCGTCGTGAACTCCGGGGTTCTAGAAGGGTGATCTCGCCATTGTCCCACCTCTTCCTCAAGAGGGCTGGGAGGGTGCGGCAATCATCGGTATGATGACTGTGCACCCTATGGTATTTGCACCACGGTTTCTTGCTGTCGGGGTCTCTGTCGCTCGAGCGGTCCCACACGTTCCATGGCTTTTTTGGTCATCCAACTGCGTTGATGCTCTTGCGATTCTTGTCATTCTTGTCGTAGTGCTGATGGGGCTCTTTGTAATCTTCCTGACTCGACGATCTGCTTTTCTTGTCGCGCGAAGATTTCTCATTGGCCAACTTGGCCTTGGCTGCCCGATCCTCCTCGACTCTGATGTACCCGGATGCCTTGTGCAAAGCATCTTCGAGGGTTTTGGTTTTTCCTGTCTTCAATCGTTCACAAAACGATGAATCATCCTTCAAATTCTTGATAAGAATGTTGAAACACAGTTCGTCCGACAGACTGCACTGGGAGACGATTGATCGGAATCGATCGATAAAATCGCGCAGCGGTTCCGTGTCGCCCTGGACGCATGCCCATAGATTGAGCGCTGTGGACTCCGTGTCGATGTAAATCGAATAATGCTTCAGGAACCGAGCTGTGAGCTCCTTGAAGCTGTCGATGGAGTTCTTTGGAAGCTATGAGAACCAGGTGAGGGCACTTTCGGAGAGCGTCTCCATAAAATATTGACAAAGGCATGATTCCCGTTCCTCATCGGTGAAGCGAGCACGTCCCAGGACTGCGTTGAATGCGGTCAGGTGTCGCTTCGGGTCTGTCGTGCTGGAGTAACTCGGAGGTAGCTTCATCCGACCTATGTCCTTAAGAGGAGCATTGGTGATAGCCGACGTGAACGGGGTTTGCTGTGTCTCCTGAAGGATCTTATCCAACTCGGGCGCTGAAGTCGTCGCCTTGTGGATCTTGCTGTGGATATCATCAAGGCGTTGGTGGAGAAGATCGAGTTCCGAGGTTGTCGTCGGGTCGGTTCCTGTGATATTGCGAGATGAGCGGGCATGCGAGCCGTCTGCCTGTGCTCTCCGTAAGTCGTCCGTCGGTGTCGTGCCAAACAAGTTGTTGACCAGCCTGGTCGTATCTGTGTTGTGGATCGAAGGGCAAGGGGGAGTGATAAGATCGGCCTGCTCTTGGGTATGAACCCTAGAGTTTATAAGCCGATCCAAGTCTTCTCTGTAAGCTATCTGCTCGACACGGAGGGACTTAAAGCGAGCATCCATCCCCTGTTGCAACTGTGCTGCAACCGACCTGATGATCGTGGTCATATCGATGGGAGGTGGATGTGGCAGGCTGGTCGTGTTTGTGCCACCCGTCTGACCGACCTGGTCTGTTCCCCCAGTGTTCTGTTTGGTAGTTGTGTTGTCTTCCTGATCGGTTTGGTGGGCCACCGGAAGCCCTGTGGCTAGGTTGATGATCAGATCCTGAATGTTTCTTCTCGGATCGGAGGCTCCTCCTGTGAGGTCGGTAGTGTTGATCGGTGTTTGAACCATCTTCGAACTCCGTTCTAAGTCAAAGATTACTCTTTTATTCCCCACAGACGGCACCAACTGTAAAAACTCAAGTTCGATCTACAAAAGAACTAGGGTTTGTGGGTTTAAAGAAAAGTTTTTTATTAGAAAAAGCCGGAGCTTGAATGAATACACAGAGGTTTATATCGTCGGAATAAGAACGCCGACCTAAACTTTTATGGAAAGTAAATCGAAAGCTAAAACAATCAGATTGCTTAGTTTGCCCTAGGTCTCGATATATTATTTTTGGATAGATTGAGGAGTCGAGGACTTCCTATATTTATAGCCGATCAGGTCGGTCTTCAACCTGCTTGGAATAGGAAACTCTTGTCGGCAAGGAGTTTTCTTTTTCCCCGGTCGCTCGATAAATGGAAGATTTCCTTTTATATTGCTGACCTGAAACTTGTTAGACGGGCCAACCCGAATTCGTATCGAGCTTGTTAGAGACGGTACAGATCTCATCTCTAACATCAACTACTAGTCAAGTACTCTCAATTGTTGCAAACGCCAAAAAAACATTTCTGTGTAAGAATTAGCATTAGACGATGTTTTAATTAGATGTTTGTGTAACTTGTATACACAAAATATTGTATTTTTATGTTTCACATTTGAATTTATTATATAAAAATATTGATAGCAGTGATGATAATCTCCCGCATTTAATTTATGGACTTCCACGGTTCAAATCCCGATCCATAACAGTAAAAAAAAAACGTAAACACAGTATTTATGAACATGTTGAAAACAATTAAAGCCTTGTAAAGGGACAAATTTTGTTAATTTTGTCGGATCCATCTCGAGAATTAACTCACTGTCAAGTGAGAAGAGACGACACTAGTGGATCTCCACTAGTCTGAGAGGACGCTTCTCCTTGTAAAGGACGACAGTTAATTAAAGCCTAAGCATGCAACAACACTGTAAAAGTCATACTTAATTGTTAATTCTTGGTTCTACTAAAATACTTGGTGTAGTTAGTAGTTACAATGTCTTTGTTTAGAACTACTTTTTTTTAACTACACAAGTGTTTTAGAACTTATAATTAAGGATGAGTTATTTACAGTTTAACATGCTTAGGCTTTGAACAAGTTCAAGGACGCTTACCAAACCAAGTGTTAAGAGTAAGTAATCTACTATTACCAGAGAGGACTTAAAAAAAAAAGGGGGTTTAGTTGATTATAAGAAATTATTCAACAATTTGGTCGGTCTAGAGAAATTACTTACATCTCTCTGTCTCACACTAAAACACTAGATATCACAACAACAGGAAAAAACAAAAATCCCAAAGGAAGTAGGATCATAAAACAAAGATAGGAATGATCACAAGTCCCTTTTGCTTTTTTTTTTGACGCAAACAAACCCATTAAACACCAACTTATTGATGTAGAACATTAAACAAAGAATTACACTCAAAAATAGTCCTGAGCTCTGCCTTTTTTTTTTTTTTTTTTACGTTTTCACTTTTTCTTTTTGAAGAACATAAATATTTCTACTTCCAAATCTTTACCGATTTGTCATGACTTGCAGACGCTATCATTCCCGTCGAAGGCGACTGAGCTAAGGCAGAGATCACACACTCGTGAGCCGGTATTGTCATACATTTGTTCTCTAGTGTGTTCCACAGCTCCAGTGACTACAACACATTTTGTTTACCAAAGTTAGAGCAACTGGTAGAGAAATAACCACAACAAGCAACAGTAGAGCCTGATTTATATTCCATAAATGGTGACACATTCGTTTCCAAGTTTATAAATTGTACCGATGGAACATAGAAACTATCCAAATTCAGGGTTGTAAATAATACCTGGTAGCCACCGATGACCAAGAGATTGGGATAGCTAGGGTGAAAAACGCAAGAGTGGAACTTGTTGCCACTAGAACTGAGCTCGTGGATGCAATCTCCTGAGCTCAGAGACCATAATTTAACAGAGTCTTCGCTAACAGAAGCTACCAACTCTCCGGTTGGGTTCCAACAAACAGAATGTACACTCGAGGAATGTCCCTGACAGATATAAAAAAAAAATCAAGCTACGGGACATAAGCATAGTCCTACATATAAGACTATTCAACAATGAACATTTAAGTCATCTAAGCATTTGATTTCATCAAACAAGAAAACACATTGGACTTAGAAGATGCATCTTAAAAGAAGAAAACAAAATATTATGTGGATTCAAACAAAGGGAGTCAATAATATAATCTTCCGCTTTACCTTTAACATGTGGACCCGTCTCTCAAGTTCAACATCAAAAATTGACACAATATTTTCCGAAGCTGCAGCCAGCAATTGTCCAATTCTTGGCTGGAACCGTACTTGCGTGCTAGCCCCCTGTGCTTGAAAAATTCAAAGATTAGAAAACAGAGTTCAACTTGGGGAGAAGCCATACGAAAGTTCAGGGGCTTGCCTTAAAACCACGAACGAAATTAGTAGCGTTGATGTTCCAGAAACGAATATCATTGTTGCCATCACAGGAGCAGAAAAGCTCTGTTTTCTTAGGGTGAAAATCAAGGGACATTACAGGAGCAGTATGACCAGAAATCGTTCGTAGGTAGTAACCAGGCTGCACAAATTAGTACTAGTTAGTCAAAACAGAACACTAAAAAATGGCTGCAACAAGTCTAAAAGAGATGGATTACTGTACATCAGAAGCATCCCAGATTTTGATAGTTTTGTCGAAGGATGACGTAGCCAGTTGAGTTGAATTAGGTCTGAAGCGAACATCCGTGATGATATGACCATGTTCCTCGGGAGTGCTCTCAGTTTGTAGTGTTTCCATGTTCCAAATAAATACCTACTGACAAAATTAATTTTGCATCCACATTATCTATTTTTAAACAAACAAGATCTGACCCACCTATAAATGATCTATAGATGTTAAGGTCATGGAAAATTTATAAGTAAAATGTATGCTCATTTCTCAGATATTAAGATGTTGCACCTTCTTATCATGTCCAGCGCTAGCCAATAACTTCCCATCAGATGAGAAATTACAGCAGATGACCTTACTGGTACTTCTTCTTATAGAACTAACCTCATTGAAACTAAAACCTGAAGGAAAAAAAAGGACCATGGTTACTATATATCGTCTATTAGTAGCATGTTTAGTCTGAAGGGGCGAGAGAATACCCTTTGAGGTTTCGGCATGCTCAGAAGGGTTCCGCTTTAGGGTGCTAAACAAGCTTCCTCCATCTCCATCATCTTGGGACAAAAACGATTCTACATTATCTTCAAGGGCTCCCACATCTCCAAACGGTTCCATGTCATCCTGCAGCTATTAATTCTTGTCATAAGAAAGCTGAAAATAACACGGCTCTCTAAGCTATGTAAGAAAATATCAAAGCCGCTAAGAAAGCACTTCCTTTCACACAACACAGCTGCATGCTGCGTTAAGATGTTACTAGAACAATGCTAGATTGTTGTTACCACTCTTCTGAGGAAATTACGAAACATACCAGTTGATTTGCTGATGAAGCAAGACCGCCTATTCCATCAGAACCATACATCATAGGGCCTTTTGGCATGCTATTCACATGCTGCATGTTACCAGTTATAGCAACTCCATCGACAGGGGTATGAGTTGACGGAGTCGACGGCTGTGAATTGGATGGGCCGACAGTGTTTCCCGTCCCTGTACTATTAGCTGGACCAGAAGATGAAGGTCCTTTTCGTTTGCGGTTGTTCTATCAGAGACACGAAAGGAAGTTGTAGTTCAATCATCTTACACACTGAAGAATATACTAATTTGGTCAAAACCACATGATCCACATAAAAAATACCTGCTGCGATTGCTGTGATAGTAAAGGATCTTGTTGCTGAGAAGAAGATTGCTGTACTGGCGGCATGTTGATATGCTACAGACCAACAAACAGCAATGGAAGGGGAAAATCAGAAAAATGTTTGATTGATAAAAATCTTAGAAGTAAAAGCCGAGTCAATAGCTATTAATTGCAGATAAATTTTATTGATTGAGTAGAGCATGTGGTTTACAAGGAGAACCCAAATTATGTTCCCTAGATAGATCTATATTAGGATAACACAACACAATATCTTACAATTTTTTTCAAATGAAAAGTGGCAGCAGTTGCAGGATATTCGAAACAGCAAAATTTTAAAACATATCATAGACATGCAATTATAATAAAAAACGCACACAGACGTATTGATCCTATTTCACCACCTAACGGAACACATAAAAATGAGATGCTTAACGAGGAAAGTTCTCTCTGCCACTCGAAAAAGATGATAGAATACGGCTCAACATGTGCTACTGCATTCAACAGGGATATGCATTTCTTGCTGATCTGAGAAAAGGAAAAAAAATCTTACTTTTGACGAACTTGACTGCATTGGAGACCCAATAGATCCATCATTTGCATTTTGTTGGCCATCTTTCGAATTCAGGTTTCCTCTAGGTAACCCTGTAAATCTCCGAGGGTCCATGTCGCCATACATGGGTGAATTAGTCATATTTCCTTGCCCTTGAACCTGAGCCAAGATCTGTTGTTGTTGTTGCTGCTGTGGCGAGAGCTGAAATTGACTTTGAGTTTGAAGGAAAGCTTTCTGAACTTGAGGGCCTAAACCTGGCCGGATTGTATCAATGCCCTGTAACATTTGTCAAGAAACTTAGTGAAAAACTGAGATTGCACTGACAAACAGATAAATCCTGCAAAAGAATCCCAGTGACTTACAGTTAATGGCCATCCTTTTAAAGGAATAGTACCTACTCCAGGGTTTAGTCCTTCACAAGAGAAAAGCACAAAACCATAAGAATTTGATTTAACAAACTGTAACCAAAAAATTCTCGCTATCCCCTTGTGTAACTCACCATAATGTTTCAGAATATAAGAGGGAGGAATATATTAATTTTGGGATCCAAGGTCAATTAATTGCCATGGAAGGCATGCTACAAGTGTTTTACCAAAATGGCAATATACTGGATGTATTTACCTGCAGTACCCATCCCAGGCTTTGATTGCAGAATTCCCTGGCCATAAACTGTAGAAGGATCCACTGGCAATTGTCTTGGAGATGCACCCATATTAACTTCACTTTTGATTTCCTGCACGTTCAAGAGATTCAGAAGCGCACCAAAAGATTTGACTGGAAATTTTTCAGTAAGAAGATATATGAACAGCCGTAAAGTAAGGTGTAGTAGTTACAGTGGGCTGCTGAGTTCGTGACTGAAGTTGCTGCAGTGCCGACGAAACACCTCCTTGGTGGTTTCCTTGCACCATCTGACTGTTTTAGGACAGAAATGACAGGACGAGAAGGTGTCAACGGTGTGAGGACAGGAGTTATGCCTGCCAATAACGAAGCTGAGAAAAATTTACCCATGATGGTTTGCCCCTGATTTGAGAATGGCCATCCTTGTATCCATATGTGGTTGGGATGTCTCAGTGTTCATTGGGTTTGGTTGCTTCATACGTTCCTCGTACATTTTTGCAGCCAAAGCACTGGCATTTGACTGCCCAAGCATCGCTTCAGAACCAATAGCATTCATCGGACCCCCCAGAGAAGGATGGTTCGGGTCCCTACGCTGCAGTTGAGCTTGGCGCATCAGCTGCAATTGCTGCATATGAAGTTGCTGCTCCTTCGCTTTACCTTGTTGTGCCTATATTTCAAAAGCCACAGGTCAGTTACGAAACTTAAAACTGATAAAAAAAAGAAAAAACTTTTATCTTTAAATGGTATGAAGCCAGCCACCTCTATATAAGCTGCAGCAGCCTCTGAATGTTTCTCATTTGTCCTTGCAATGAATATGTCCCAGAACACAGACCACCACTCAAACAGAAACCCTCCAGGAGCATCAATCGCTACATCATTTACACAACACAAATACTCCAACGAGTCTATCACTTAGCTCAAAAACCAACTCACAGTGAATCAAAACGGCTTAAATAGGAGAAATTTAAGTCAGAAATGTGTTAAAGAACAAAGTCAAACAAACAGATATTTACCAACTGGATCCGGCGAGACTTTCCCTTCTGTCATAAACGACTTCGCAGTATTATGCAGTTTCTTCTTCACCAAATAATCATATATGTAAACGTCAAGCCTACAATCCAAAAAATATGTAAAAGGAAAGTGAAAAAATAAGAAAAAAAGGTATTTTTCTTCAAAGAAATATGCATAAATCTGGGAATTGAAAATTTACACACTAAATTCAATAATCACTTACATCTTATCAGCTTCCCAATTACTCTGCGCCATAGCTTCAGCCCGAGATCGAGCTATAAGTAGTTAAAAGTAAGTCAATCTTAGTTCAAAATGAATTTGACTCAGAATTTCGATTGGTTTGTTAAAGTAACTAACCTGAATAAGCTCAAACAAATCAGAGTGCTTCTGGGTAGATCAGAACCCTAATTCGATCTTCAAAGTCCGTATCTTTAGAGATCAAGCATTGCCGCTGCACATACAGAGAGATTAGAGAGAAAATCGGAGAAAGTTAGAGATTACTTGTACGAGAACACGATTCGTGAAATTGACATAGAAGTAATCGAATTGATCATAACTGATGATTGATCACTGTTTAATTGGAGAAAAAAAACAATTAAGAAAACTAGGGTTGTAGAGATTTTCAGTGAATTGTTATTCACCTGGAGCTAGAAGAGTAAATCGATCATGAAACAGCTGGAACAAAGAGAGATCAGATAAAAAAAGGTTTGATCAGTTTCGGAGACTTCTTCGAGATCAGAAAGAAATCTCTCAGAGTTTGGTTTTGTTGATGCTTTTTTGGGTAAGCTTTGGATTCGGTTTTGGTTTATTAATGGGCCTCAGTATTTGTTAATTATAAGCTCCTTTAATGGGCCTACATTGGGTCTATTATGGGCTTCGATGTAAGTCAAACTCCAAAAAATAAGTCGTCGGTTGCTACTTGGTAGAGCCTAATCGAATTTAGCAGATGGACAATGACTGCTATCATCAGATCCTTTGTGACAATGACGATTATCATCAGATCGCAAGCTTTTAACAAAATAAATGATTCATGCTCTATTTAATGCACATTAGGACATTAGTCGATCGTTGAAATTGCTTTACCGTATTTAAAATCTCCTAGATACAGGTTATAAATCTCAACATGAGAAATAGCTGGAGATACTGGTAAGTGACGATCTAATCTAGCCATTTAGTAGTAATTGTCTGCAATTATATACTAAGTATACTCCAACATTAAACTTTGTTTTCTAAAGTTACTATATGATCCCATGTTACAATGTTGGTTTGGAGATTGAGAATTTAATATAATATGTGCTGTGTTTGGTTTGAACCATTAATGGCACAATAAATGAGATCACTTCTTTTTTCACTAAATGAGTCACATTTAGCTTTTGACTAGTGCAAAAAGGTCCTTATATTATTGAGGAGCTTCATAGTAGAACATGTCCTTCAACTATAAAAGGAAAATAAAGCAGCCACAAGTTATCAATTTTTGCTTTTCTTATAACGACGCACAATTTAGTCATTTAGTAAATACGAAGTGTTATTAATACAGAAAAAATTACACAATACTATATTAACAATGGAATTTTTTTTTTTTATCTACGACTGCATCATATATATGCTGAACTATAAGTCAAGAAATGGCACATTTATTGGGTATTTCTATCTGATGATTGCATTTGTTGATTTTTATACTAGATGACAGAACATGTGAATCAATGACTACTAAACTGTATACGATGTTATATATATCCTTCAGCTTCAGGTTTTTGCGCCAACAACTTCGAGAGTATTTTATTCAAATTTTAATCGGAAACTGATACATACAAATTACTTTCTGTGTATATATACACTATTCCATAGTTTTATCAATTTATCAAATTAAGTGCAATTTCTTGTACTGTTGGATGAGATCAATTGGGCAGTTGGCAGACATAAATAAATTGTCCAATGACAGGTGCACCTCATTTAATTTGATTATGCTCAACCAATTGAATTATCTTTGCTTTGTTACCTAGTGAACCCTCCGGTTCATTCAATGCCGGTTGCCTCAACTCTGTTTTGCATTATGCATATAAATTTATATCAATCCAGATTCAAGAAAACTCATTACAATTTGAAATACAGACTACGTAAGCGTATTTTGTCAATTGTAGAAATCAATAAAGAAAATGAAGAGAAGTTAAAATAAACCGGACCTGACAAGAAACTCAACCCAAAAAAATAAAGAAATAAAACCGGTTATGTATGTACGCAACGAGATGTCTATATAAACAGTTCAAGACTATGCTTCACTGACACAACTGTCTTCTCTCTTTCATCTATATCATATAAAACTCGTGGAGTTATTTAATCAAACCACTTAATTATGGGTTTAATTGCCCGTAAGGCGTGTGTGTTTATCTTCGTATTCGCCCTTGTCGCCGAATTTGCGTTCGGGAATGTCGAAGTTAACGACGACAAACACTTTTTCCACAAACCTCGACCGTACTTCCACAAACCTCGTCCATACTTCCACAAGCATGGCATTTACAAGAAGGGTTATGGAAAGGGTTTGGGCGGCGGTGGCGGTCTAGGTGGCGGTGGCGGTCTAGGAGGCGGTGGTGGTTTGGGTGGAGGAGGTGGTTTAGGCCACGGTGGCGGTTTGGGCGGAGGAGGTGGTCTAGGCCACGGTGGTGGTCTAGGAGGCGGTGGTGGTTTAGGAGGAGGAGGCGGTTTGGGCGGAGGAGGCGGTGGTGGTTTAGGAGGAGGAGGCGGTTTGGGTGGAGGAGGCGGTCTAGGCCACGGTGGCGGTTTGGGCGGAGGCGGCGGTCTAGGCCACGGGGGCGGTCTAGGTGGAGGTGGAGGTCTAGGAGGAGGTGGTGGTGGTGGTTTAGGTGGAGGAGGTGGGTTAGGCGGTGGAGCTGGAGGAGGATATGGTGGTGGTGCAGGAGGAGGATATGGTGGTGGTGCTGGAGGAGGAGGAGGATTTGGCGGAGGAGGAGGATTCGGCGGTGGGGCCGGTGGTGGAGGAGGATTTGGAGGTGGTTATGGTGGTGGTGGTGGACATCATTGATGAGGCTCTTGTTCATGCATTCGTACGTACGTTGTTATTATTAAATTAAATAAAATTAAATATGATGATTAATATTTACAATAAAATGTGGTACATTAGCAATTGTGTATGTCCTTTCTGTTTATTTGGAGTTGTATTGTATGCTCTTTTTTCATGTGTATGCTTTTGGTTGGTTTCAAGTTTCAAGTTTGGAATAAAATGGTTGATTTTGTTCATTTTGTCAAGAGTGGTCGTTTTATGTTAGAACTGTTTGCTTAGGGTGAACACGAAAAAAAAAAAAAAAAATCTCCATCCAAAATTAAATATTTAGTTTTATCGTTTTAGATTCTGAATACTACTCAGCCGATGAAAGCTACGAAGTCTACATTAACAACACCGAAGCAGAACTCTCACACTCTCACTCCCTTAATCACGTCACGCGATGTGAGAATGAAGAATTAGAGAGATCTTCTCCTCTCCGCACGACATTATACAGACCAAGGGAGCTTCCGATAACGTTAGCTGATGATGCGCTTGGTGTGTGACACGTGTAAGGTCAATATCAATTGGTGTTGCTCATGATCCTCCTATAGAGAATTTGACAACCCACAAATATTTAATAAATCAAAGTCAATGCTAATTTATCTTTGTAAGTGGATCAAGAGGCTACAAATTTCTCCAATCCACAAACGTATCCAATGTGTTTGTTGTTATGCTAAGTTTATTTGTGTAATTTTGAACATATGTGAGAAATTTCAAACTCATGTGGTTCCAATCCAAGTTACACGCTAGAGAGATTAGCTAACGTGCATTTTACTTCATGATTTGTGTGATTCTTAAACATCAACACTTTGGTACTTTTGGCATAATTTTCTCTCTAAAACACTTTAGTACTTTTGGCATAATTTTCTCTCTAAGTCAAGTTGCGAGGGCGACATAGCTCCAATGCAAAAACCACATATCTCTCTATTTATAATCAATCTTCTCTCACTTTTCTTACAGTAAAATCATTCTTCTTTAAAACATTTTGATGACGACCTTGTCGGAATCTCCTATGCGTTTGCATTTTCTTTTGCTACTCTTGCTCTGTTGTGTCTCCCCTTCAACCTTTGCCACTGAAAATGCTCATGGTGGTGGCCTCGTTGGTTGTCTTCCACGCCAGATTCAAGCCTTTACGCAGTTCAAAAATGAGTTTGATACTCGTGGTTGCAACCATAGTGACTTCTCTAATGGAGTCTGGTGCGATAACTCGACCGGTGAGATCACGAAGCTACGACTCAGTGCTTGTCTCAGTGGAACCTTGAAGCCCAACAGTAGCCTCTTTGGATTGCATCATCTTCGTTACCTTAATCTCTCTGGAAACAACTTCATCTCCTCTTCACTCCCTTTCGAGTTTGGCAATCTCAACAAATTAGAGGTTTTATATCTTTCCTTTAATGGCTTCGTCGGCCAAGTTCCTTCCTCATTTAGTAACCTAAGCATGCTTTCCTATTTAGACCTATCCCATAACGAGCTCACTGGTAGTTTCCCACTTGTGCGGAATCTAACTAAGCTCATAGCTTTAAGACTTCTTCACAATCACTTCTCCGGAACTCTGAATTCCAAAAGTAGCCTCTTTGAGCTGCACGAGCTCATTTACCTTAATCTCGCATTTAACAGCTTCAGTTCTTCACTCCCTTTCGAATTTGGAAATCTAAAAAAATTGGAGTTTTTGGCTCTTTCCTCTAATAGCTTCTTCGGTCCAGTTCCTCCCACAATTAGTAACATGACGTCGTTAACCGCGTTGTACCTTGCCAAAACCAGTCTCACCGGTAGTTTCCCACTTGTGCAAAACCTAACTAAGCTCTCTCAACTACATATTTTTGATAGCCACTTCTATGGAACCATCCCGTCGTCTCTCTTCACTCTGCCTTTCTTAAAAAACCTTGATCTAGGTGGAAACCAGTTCACCGGTTCCATTGAACATCCAAACTCCTCTTCATCGTCAAGGCTAGAGCATTTGTACATTGGGAACAACGGTTTTGAAGGAAAAGTATTAGAGTCAGTTTCAAAGTTCATCACCCTCAAAGTTCTCGACATTTCTTTCCCGAAAACAAGTTATCCAGTAGACCTAAGCCTCTTCTCCTCTTTAAACTTTTTGGTGTACCTCGATGTGTCAGGTAACAATATATCTCGAGCTAGTTTAAGACCTGATTCCGCAATCCCACTGAACCTAGAGTTTTTGTTCTTGTCCCATTGCGGCATGAGCGAGTTCCCAAAGATACTGAAGGCCCTCAAGAAGTTGGAGTTTATAGAAATATTCAGCAATAAAATCAAAGGGAAAATACCTGAGTGGTTTTGGAACTTTCCTCGTCTAAGCCTAATGGATATATCTAACAATTCTTTCAACGGCTTCGAAGGTTCTGTGGAACTTTTAGGAAATTCATCATTGAAGGTATTGAATTTGGAGTCAAACGATTTTGAAGGATCACTTCCTAATTTACCGCCATCTATCACCGACTTTGCTGCGGGTGGTAATTATTTCACAGGAGAGATACCTCTTTGGGTCTGCAACAGAAGCTCGCTTGCTGGCCTAGATCTACACGACAACAACTTCACCGGTCCAATTCCTCCATGTCTAAGTAATGTCGCGTTTGTGGATCTGCGGAGGAACAACTTGCAAGGAAGTATTCCAGACACTTTTGGTGCTGGTGCCATTGTCCGGACGCTTAACGTTGGCCACAATCAGCTAACTGGGAAGCTTCCAAGATCGCTTTTAAACTGCTCCTTTCTCAATTCTCTAAGCGTTGACCACAACAGAATCGAAGACACATTTCCCTTCTGGCTCAAGGCGTTACCGGATTTGGAAGTTCTTGTCCTCCGTTCAAACAGATTCTACGGTCCTATATCTCCTCCTGATCAAAGCCGTCTGGGGTTTCCAGAGCTGCGGATATTTGAGATATCAGACAATATGTTTACTGGGAGCTTACCACCAGCATACTTTGAGAACTGGAAAGCAGCGTCACTTACGATGAATGACGGAGGGAGTATATATATGGTGTATGATAAGAATGTTTTGGGACTTGCTTCATTTAGGTATACTGATCGTATAGATTTGCTATACAAAGGACTAAAAATGGAGGAAGCGAAAATCCTCACTTCCTACGCAACCATCGATTTCTCTGGAAACCTATTGGAAGGACAGATTCCTGAATCTCTTGGTCTCTTGAATACACTGATTGCACTCAACCTATCAAACAACGCTTTCACCGGCCATATTCCTCTGTCATTGGCCAATCTTACAGAGCTCGAGTCACTTGACCTCTCAAGAAACCGTCTCTCTGGCAGTATTCCTAGTGGAATTGGGACCCTCTCGTTTTTGGCCTACTTAAATGTGTCTCATAACCAACTCAAGGGTGAAATACCACAAGGAACACAGATCACCGGGCAGCCCAAATCCTCATTTGAAGGGAATGCAGGGCTTTGTGGTCTTCCCCTTGAAGAAAGCTGCTTTGGGAATAAGGCGCCACCAACACAACAACCTAAAAAAGAAGACAAAGAAGAAGAGGAAGAAATTTTGAACTTGAAAGGAGTGGCAATAGGGTATGGGTCTGGAGTGTTGCTTGGATTGGCAATATCACAAGTCATTTCTTCATACAAGCCTGAGTGGCTCGTCAAGTTAATTGGTATGAGTAAGCGCAGAAACCGTTAGCATTATGGTCTTGTATTAATGAATTTCCGTATGTTTGTTGTTACTTTGTGATACTTTTGTTTATTTTCTTCTTCTATCAAATAAGAATTGTGAATTTTCTGTATTCCTATTCATATGCATCAAGTTCTATGATGTGATATTACAATCCAGACTATACATTAGAAAAGTAGGCAAAATTCAAACCGATGTGATATTACAATCCAAATTATACAGTATAAAAAAAGAATTAAGTCAGCTCTAAGTTATTTATACCAATCGTTTCTGCTCTTAATTTACTTAAACAAAACTATTCTTCTTAAAAGCTCTCATGCCGACCATGTTGGGATCGTTTCTGCGTTTGCATTTTTTTTTGCTACTCTTGCTCTGTTGTGTATCCCGTCAAGCTTCTCAATTGTCACTCTTAATAATGGCCATGGTGGTCTTGTTGGTTGTCATCGCCACCAGATTCAAGCCTTTACGCAGTTCAAAAACGAGTTTGATACTCGTGGTTGTAACCATAGTGACTACTCTAATGGAGTCTGGTGCGATAACTCGACCGGTGGGATCACGAAGCTACAACTCAGAGACTGTCTCAGTGGAACCTTGAAGCCCAACAGTAGCCTCTTTGGGTTGCATCATCTTCGTTACCTTAATCTCTCTGAAAACAACTTCAGCTCCACTTCACTCCCTTTCGAGTTTGGCAATCTCAACAAATTAGAGGTTTTATTTCTTTCCATAGTTTCCTTGGCCAAATTCCTTCCTCATTTAGTAACCTAAGCATGCTTTCCTTTTTAGACCTATCCCATAACGACCTCACTGGTAGTTTCCCACTTGTGGGGAATCTAACTAAGCTCACAGTTTTAAAGCTTTCTTACAATCACTTCTCCGGAACTCTGAATTCTAAAATTAGCCTCTTTGAGTTGCACCAGCTCCGTCAGCTTGATCTGGACTTTAACAACTTCAATTCTTCACTCCCTTTCGAATTTGGAAGTCTCAACAAATTAGAGATCTTGTCTCTTTCCTCTAATGGCTTCTTGGGTCATGTTCATCCCATAATTAGTAACTTAACTCGATTAACCGAGTTGCACCTTGGCGAAAACGGTCTCATTGGTAGTTTCCCACTTGTACACAATCTAACTAAGCTCTCTCTTCTAAGCCTTTAAGAAAATCACTTTGATGGAACCATTTCTTCTTCTCTACTCACTCTGCCCTTCTTGGAAGAAATTGATCTAAGTCATAACCAGTTCACCGGTTCCATTGAACATCCCAACTCCTTTTCATCGTCAAGGGTAGAGCATCTGTACCTTGGAAACAACAATTTTGAAGGAAATATAGTAGAACCTATCTCAAAGTTCATCACCCTCAAAGATCTCGACCTTTCATTCCTAAAAGCAAGTTATTTAATAGACCTAAGCCTCTTCTCCTCTTTCAAACTTTTGGAGTACCTTGGTCTTTCCGGCAACAATATATCTGCAGCTAGTTTAAGGTCTGATTATGCAATCCCATCGAACTTTGTGAGGTTGGACTTGTCCGATTGCGGCATCAACGAGTTCCCAGAGATGTTAAAACCCCTTAAGAAGTTGGAGCTTATAGACCTTACCAGTAATAATATGAAAGAGAAAGTACCCGAGTGGTTTTGGAACCTTCCTAGTCTAACCACAATGTTCATTGCTGTGAATTCGTTTGACGGTTTCGAAGGTTCGGCGCAAGTTTTAGTAAATTCAGCAGCGTTGATATTACATGTGGAGTCGAACAATTTTGAAGGAGAACTTCTTAATCTACCGCCATCTATCATCGCCTTCTATGTGGGTCGTAATAATTTCACATGAGATATACCTCTTTCGTTCTGCAACAGAAGTTCGCTTGTTCTACTTATTCTGTCTGAAAACAACTTCACCGGTCCAATTCCTCAATGTTTGAGTAACTTAACGACTGTGGTTCTTCGTAAGAACAACTTGCAAGGAAGTATACCCGACGCTTTTGGTGTAGGTACCTCTCTGCGGACATTTGACGTTGGATACAATCGACTAACCAGGAAGCTACCACGGTCTGTTATAAATTGCTCCTCTCTGAGGTTTCTAAGTGTTGACAACAACAGATTCGAGGACACGTTTCCTTTCTGGCTCAAGGCTCTACTAAATTTGAAAGTTCTTATCCTCCGTTCAAACATATTCTATGGTCCTTTAGCTCCTCCTGATCAAGGTCCTCTTGGGTTTCCAAAGCTGCAGATATTTGAGATATCAGACAATAAGTTTACTGGAAGCTTACCTCCAACATACTTTGAGAATTGGAATGCATCGTCACTTACGATGAATGAAGATCGAAGTATATATATGGTATATGTCAAGTTTGTTCTCCAGGTAGTTTCATTTAGGTATACTGATCAAATAGATTTGCAATACAAGGGACTAAAAATGGAGAAAGTGAGAGTCCTCAATTCCTACGCAGCTTTTGTTGGCATTAATTGCGCTCAACTTATCAAACAACGCATTCACAGGTCACATTCCTCTGTCATTGGCCAATCTCACAGAGCTCGAGTCAATTGACCTGTCAAGAAACCAACTCTCTGGGAGTATTCCTAATGGACTCAAGACCCTCTCGTTTTTGGCATACATAAACGTGTCTCATAACCAACTCAAAGGTGAAATACCACAAGGAACACAGATCACTGGGCAGCCTAAATCCTCATTTGAAAAGAATGCAGGGCTTTGTGGTCTTCCCCTCGAGAAAAACTGCTTTGGGAATAAGGCGCCACAAACACAACAACCTGAAGAAGAAGATGAAGAAGAAGAAGAAATTTTGAACTGGAAAAGAGTGGCAATCGGGTATGGGCCTGGAGTGTTGCTTGGATTGGCAATTGCACAAGTCATTGCTTCATACAAACCTGAGTGGTTCCTCAAGATCATTGGTATGAATAAGCGCAGAAACCGTTAAAATTGTTTTGAGTTTGAGTGTGGTCTCTCTCTCCCTTGTCTGCCATTATTGTCTTGTATTGAAGAATTTCCTTATGTTTGTTGTTACTTTGTGATATTTTTGTTTACTTTCTTCTATCAAATAAGAATTGTGAATTTTCTGTACTCATATTCATATGCATCTCTGTTTTTTTTTTGTTCCTAATGAGGAAAATGGTACAAGTAAGAACCATCACCATGAGAATAAAGACCTAATCTAATGTTTCTTTTTACTAATGTGAAAAATTAGGAGATTGAAGAAAACATCAGAAACACCTCATCACCATTAGCACAAAGACCTAATATATATATAAGCAAAATCCAACAGTACATCTCTTTTCAAACATCCATACCCTAAAGGATCATTTTTCAGTAGTCATATTCATATATACATCTCTATTTCCTCTCTCCCCTCCCCCACCCAACTTCTCGAGGGTGAAATGAGACAAGAAAAAGCTTGATTCTGTATACCAACTCGAAACAGAGGAATGGGGAAAAAAGCAGAGGATCACAACATCTTCGTCAAGACTAAAATATTGCAAACGACATAGAATTTGTCTGAACTCTGAAACCTTTTTTTTTTTAATTAACAACAACAATGCCACAAATGGAGTTAAGAAAAGAGATGTACAAATTAAAAATCAGAAGCTAATTAAAACAAAATTATCACCTCGTGGATATCCTCTACTGATGAGGGCTAAAAGCAAAGGATAAAAAAAAACTATATCATCTGTTTGATGATTTGATCCAACGGCGACTACGAGGAGGATACGATGGTAACTATGAGAAAATATCAAGGATATACCCGTATATTTATAAATTTCAGTTTGTTTCAAAGTAGTTTCCTTTTTGAGTTGCTTAACCCCAACTTGTTTCGGTTTTTTTTTTTTTATGATAGCGATGGGGATGAATACATGTTGTGAAATCGCAATTGAAACAATGAACTCGAATGAGAAATAACGATTTGAGGCGAATACTATTAATGTGTGAATTATAAATGTTACGAACCAGAGAATCTCGAAGAAGATGATCGGAAAGTTTGTTACGGGAAAAGATTTTCTGATTAGAATGAAAAGTAAACTGTACAATTTGTTTATATACAATCGACTAACTAAACCAAACCTTAACCAATCTATACAATTGTTAAAATAGAGTTGAACCGGCTAAAAGAGACCGATACAACTAAACCATTCTCCAATATTCCCCCTCAAGATGAGCAGAAGATATTCTGAAGACTCATCTTGGACTTAAGGTGATCAAATTGATGAGGAAACAAAGGTTTGGTAAGTATATCCGCCACTTGATCTTCTGTATGGACGTGTAAAGTCTTCAAAAGGCCTTTGTCCAGCTTCTCCCGGACTGTGTGACAGTCAACTTCGATGTGTTTCGTGCGTTCGTGGAACACAGGATTTGTGGCGATGTAAATAGCAGCTGTACTATCAGAGAAGAGAACGGGAACAGCAAGAGAAGTTACCCGTAAATCCTTCAACAAAGAGTGCAGCCACATGATCTCACAGGAAGCAAGAGCTAAAGCTCTGTATTCAGCCTCTGCTGAAGATCGTGAGACAGTCGGTTGTTTCTTGGAACGCCATGAGATCAAAGAAGAACCAAGAAACATACTGAAACCACTTGTGGAACGGCGACTGTCTGGACATGAAGCCCAGTCTGCATCCGCAAAGCCTTTAAGAGTAAGGTCATCATCGGCAGAGTAAAACAAACCTTGTCCTGCCGTGCCTTTGATGTATTGAAGAACTCGGTAAACAGCTTTGAGATGAGAAGTACGTGGAGCGGAAGAATATTGACACAATTTGTTCACTGCAAAAGAAATGTCAGGTCTGGTGATTGTCAGATACATCAACCGTCCGACTATTCTGCGATATAGCTCTCTGTCGGAAATCAAAGTACCATCCTCCTTTGACAGTTTCAGGTTCGAAACCATAGGGGTCGTGGATGGTTTACAACCCAACATCCCTGTAGAAGACAGAATCTCAAGAGCATATTTCCGCTGGCAAACAGAAATACCAGCAGAAGTCCGAGCGATTTCCAAGCCCAAAAAATACTTTGCAGGACCAAGATCGCGAAGCTTGAAATGTTTCTTCAGATCCGCAGTTAACTGCTCAGCAGGTTGATCACGTGTGCTTGCTATGAGGATACCATCAACATAGACCAAGACAACTACAAAATCATCTCCGCAAGTCTTTATAAACAATGTGCGATCACCATGGCCTTTCGTAAATCCCATTGTCAACAAAGAATCTGAAAACTTACGAAACCATTGCCGTGATGCTTATTTAAGACCATATATGGACTTCTTGAGTCGACAAACTGCATTTGGTGGCAATGAGTCCCCCTTTCTATCAGCATACCCTTCAGGCAACTTCATGAATATCTGTTCATCCAAATCACCATTCAAAAAAGCATTAGAAATGTCCAGTTGCTTGAGAGTCCACTTCTTAGATGCTGAAACCTTCAATAGTAAACGCACAGTAGCCGTTTTGGCGACTGGAGAAAACGTCTCATTGTAGTCCAAGCCTTCTTTCTGTGTATAACCTTTAGCAACTAGTCTTGCTTTATACCGCTCAAGACTCCCATCAGCATGAAACTTCACTGTGAAAACCCACTTGCAACCCACAGCCTTCTTACCCGGAGGGAGAGAAGTGATATCCCACGTATTTGTAGATTCCATGGCTCCAATTTCGTCATCCACAGCCCCACACCATTCTTTGGATTTCTGTGCCTCGGAATATGATGAAGGAATGGGAATTTTTGTTATGCTGTTTATATAAGCAAGATGAGATGGAGAAATTTTGGAGTATGAAAGAAAAGAAGAAATGGGGTGAATAAGATCGGATTGTAGGGAAGAGCAGTGATAGTCTTGTAAATAAGCGGGCATTTTTGATTGCCGTTTAGAAATTTGTGGTGAAAGAGATGAATGAGAAGGAGTATGGAGAGTGATTGTACCTGAAGGCACAGAATCCATTGGTGTGAAGATATCCAGAGCATTCTCATCTGAACCTTTTGCATTTGCCAGAGGAAAAATGTCTTCATGAAACACCACATTCCGTGAAATGTATATAGTATTACTCTCCAAATCCATGATCTTATAACCTTTGTAACCAGTCGGGTATCCCAAGAACACACAAGCTCGAGACCGAGGTTGAAATTTGTGACGTTGCTTGGGTGATGTAGAGCCATAACACAAGCAACCAAACGTCTTTATCTGTGTGTACGTAGGAGGCTTACCCGTGAGAACTTCAAATGGGGTCTTGTCCAATAGACTGCAGAGGGTGTCCTGTTGATCAAGAATACTGCCGTAAGAACACAATCCCCCCAAAAAGAAATTGGGATCTTAGACTGAAACATCAGAGCTCGAGAAACATTTAGTATATGTTGATGTTTCCTCTCAACCACTGAATTCTGTTCAGGAGTCTCAGGACATGAGTGAAAAGCAACGATACCCTTCTTGTTGTAGAAATCAGTGAATCTCAACTCTGGGGCATTGTCGGATCTTACAGACTTTACTTTGACGTTGTACTGATTTTCGACTTGTTGAATGAACGCAGGGAAAACTTGTAAGACTTCATTTTTCGTTCTCAGCAAATAAACCCAAGTCGCTCTGGAGTGATCATCAACAATAGTCAAAAAATACTTATAACCATCAATCGTATCCACTGAAAAGGGACGCCAAATGTCGATGTGTAACAACTCAAAGTTAGAATTACAAATATTGTTGGATGAAGAGTACGACAACTTCTTTTGTTTTGCCAGATGACAAACATGACAGAACGTTGTTCCTTTATTCTTATAACTAGACGTCCCCAATGTTTCTGAGATGACATCGAGCCTTGAAAACGATGGGTGACCAAGACGCTTGTGCCACATACTGAGATCCGCTACAGCATTGACTGAAACAGACGAGCTCGATGTCTCCAGCACATACAGGTTCCCAATCCTTCTACCCTGACCAATCGTCAATCCCTTGATAGTGTCCTGAATAGTACAAGAAGAAGGATCAAATATCACACGGGTGTTAAGGTCTGTAGTCAAGGAGCTGATACTGATGAGATTCAAACGAAATTCTGGGATGAACAAAACATTTCGAAGAAGAATGTCTTTGTTAATCTGAATAGTTCCCATGCCACTAATCTTAACCGTTGAACCAGTCGGTAAATTCACAGAGCTAGCAACAGAAGTATCCATGGACAGAAAAAGGGTTCTATCGTAAGAGACATGGTGGGTGGCACCAGAATCTATCACCCAAGCATGATTACTCAAACTCTGTTGTGAGACAGTGAGAATGCCAACAAAACAATAGGTTGAGGGAGAGAACGAGATACCAGAAGTGTTTGGCGATTGTGAAGAGCTAGGGTCAGTGCAAGGAGTCTGAAGTTGTAAACTGAACAAAGCAATGAAGTTCTGAATCTGATCTTTAGACAAGTTACTGATCAGAGAGTCGAAACTGTGGGAGGGAACATCAGAAGCATCAACGTGAGCAATAACTTTCTGCTTCTGAGACTTTTCAGTAGGAGGATTCTTCCCTTTCTGTGTGAAGCCAAGAGGGTACCCATGTTTCTTATAACAGCGCTCAGCGATGTGACCAACTTTGTTGCAAAAGGAGCATATGGGACGTCCCTTGTTAGGACCATTTTGAACATAGCAAATCTCAGGAGAAGCATCATTAACCTCGGAAACTTGGAAAGCAGCTGGAGGAGAAACAATTTGAGAGAAACTTTTCTGGTTCTCATCTTGGTCCAGCATATTGTAAACTTCAGCAAGCGAGGGTAAAGCTTTCTTCATTATGATCTGCCTTCGAATAATAGCATATGACTCATTCAAACCAGCCAAAAACTTGACAATACGAGCTCTCTCTGCCTTCAGTTGCAGACGAGCAGCTTTACCGCAGGTGCAAGGATCATCAGGTTCTTCGGTACTCTCTAAATTACTCCACATCTTGAATCTGTTGAGTCAAATTAAAGGTCCTCGGTAGATTTGTCATATGGAAACGACCATAGAGATCATTCCAGATATCAGTAGCATCATTCAGACGGAGAATACTACGATAGATTTGAGATGTAACCGAGTTGAGCAACCAAGATTTCACCAAGCTATTGCATCTAGACCAAATCCGAAAACTAGATTCCGATTCATCAGGTCGTGGTAAACTTCCATCGATGAAACCTATTTTGTTCTTAGCATCTAAGGCAATTCGCATGGCAGCTTCCCAGTCATCATAATTCATTCCATCTAGTTGAAGAGAAATCAGATTGAAACCTGGATGGTCCGAGCTATGCATATGGAAAGGAGAGTGAATTGAATCGAGCGATTCCGTCATAGTGCGAGAAGTGCGACGAGCTAAAGATCCTGAGGCTTGTCGCAACGGAGAATCATCATCAGAACTCTGCTGAACGGTGGCTCGAGTCGATCGACGAGGTTGAACCCGTTTGAAATTCACCATCGGAACTCAAAAAAAATAGCTCAACAAAACGAAATTAGGCTAAGATTTGAAGGAATTTGAGCTCAGATGGCTCTGATACCATGTTACGAACCAGAGAATCTCGAAGAAGATAATCGGAAAGTTTGTTACGGGAAAAGATTTTCTGATTAGAATGAAAAGTAAACTGTACAATCTGTTTATATACAATCGACTAACTAAACCAAACCTTAACCAATCTATACAATTGATAAAATAGAGTTGAACCGGCTAAAGGAGACCGACACAACTAAACCATTCTCCAATAATAAACACTAAAGATCAAATACCCGATCCAAGTTAGAATAGAAAATAGGGCAATATTTATGACCTAACGTGTAGCGTACGTACCTACCACAAATCATAGTGGCATTCCACCGAGAAGTGATCAACTGTAGTACATTAGTAGGTATTAAGTCATCTTGAATAACAAGAGAGAGGAGCAACGTTAGGTTAATTTCCACTATTGTTTCTTTTATAAAATATTTTTAGCTCAATTAAAAATTTAAAATGCTTTATTCTCGCAAAAAGACAATACTCCAGTCTCATGGATTCACATTCTCTCAACATATTAAAATTTTCAACCCTAATAAAATGCAAACGACAGGAAATTTGTCTGATTTCAGAAACGTCTTTCACAGTTAACGACAATTCCACGCTGTTACAATATATAAATACGATGGACAAGAATGACAATATTTCTGTATATTTTTGTAAAATGTTCTGTACACATTTATATATGAATATTTAGCCATTAAGAGTAAATGCAACATTATAAGACTCTCGGAGTAGTATTCTCAACACACGCAAAGTAGAGAACAGTTAGACATACAAAACAAAGCTAACCCCAATTCGCTAATTAAAACGAAATCATCACCTCTCTGCTAGTGAGCTTAATTAGAGCCTATTCTGAGGTTGCTTGGGTTCCAAACAAATAGCATTTGCATCCAGATGCCGCGTTTAAATGCAAAAATAAACAGTGCCTAAATGCCTCATTCTACTACATGTAAATTTGTTTGAGCTTATGTCATATAACAATGAAAGGATAATGCAAATGAAAATCTCTCGCAAGTATTGTCTCTCAGTTATAACTGAAAGTCTGAAACTAATCCTAAAAGATTAAAACTTTAATCTCTTGGGTTCGCATTCGCATAAACAGAAGAGAAACTCACTTCACTAGAACAAACAAAACAAATTAAGATATGCATGTGAGTAAAGACAAATCGTCAACGCAAATTCGTTAACAAATAATTATTTGTTTCGTCTTATTTGTATGGTCCTTGTAATTGGCTGATACGGAAACTAAGTGAGTGACTTTTTTTGGTTTTGAAGTTTTGACAAAGTCTTCTCTAATCCACAAACAAATCAATGCCAGATCTTCTTAAAATTTTGAAAAAGTCTTCTCTAATCCACAAACAAACATAGTGCCATTTCACTGTAAGGCCATAGATTCTTAAATGCAATAAGTACAAGAAAATTCAAAGAGAAACAAAGTATCAAAAAAGTTTTAACGAACAAAATGTGATTTGTTTGAAAGGCCTAGAAATTTGTGGATTGGTGGTGAGAACACTGAGAAGTATTATGATACCGGAAACTTATTAAAATTAGAAAGAAATAAAATCAGTTACATTTATGAACTTTTATTTTTTTCTAAGAAAAAATAGAGAGATTTATATATATATATATATATATATATATATATTTAGAGTCTCTTTTGATGTTGCTTGGGTTACACACAAATAAAACTTTCAAGAACTGTCCCTTGTTGCCACACCCAGACTCTCTCTTATCGTTTTAATTTCTGATGGATACAATAGAGAAAGATGAATTTGGACAGCTTTCTCCAACCCCCAAACAAACTATTTAATTATATGTTCTTCTTGTCTTTGATCATTTTGTTTATTTTATACCATAATTTTCCTTTTGTAACTTTAACATATGTGAGATTTTTCAAATTACATCTGATCTCAATCCAAGTTATACGTTAGAAAAATAAATTAACTAACGTGGATTTCACTTCATACTTTAAATGGTTCTTAGACGTCAACTTTGGCATATTTTTCTCTCTAAAAAACTATAGCATATTTTTGGAACACTTTCTCAAAAAATTAACATATTTTTATTTCAAGGTCAAGTTGCTGAGGGTGACACAAAAACCACGTATCTCTCTTGTTGACAAAAAAAAACCACGTATCTCTCTATTTATATTCAATCTTCTCTCTCATTTTTCTTACACTAAAATCATTCTTCTTAAAACATTTTGATGACGACCATGTCGGAATCGCTTATGCGTTTGCATTTTCTCTTGCTACTCTTGCTCTGTTGTGTCTCCCCTTCAAGCTTCTCAATTGTCACTCTTAATGATGATGTTGGTGGTCTTGTTGGTTGTCGTCGTCACCAGATTCAAACCTTTGCTCATTTCAAAAACGAGTTTGATACTCGTGGTTGCAACCATAGTGACTTCTCTAATGGAGTCTGGTGCGATAACTCGACGGGTGAGATCACGAAGCTACAACTCAATGCCTGTCTCAGTGGAACCTTGAAGCCCAACAGTAGCCTCTTTAGATTGCATCATCTTCGTTACCTTAATCTCTCACACAACGACTTCATCTCATCTTCAACAAATTAGAGGTTTTATCTCTTCCCTCTAATGGCTTCGTCGGTCAAGTTCCTTCCTCATTTAGTAACCTAAGTTTGCTTTCCGTTTAGCCCTATCCCATAACGAGCTCACTGGTAGTTTCCCACTTGTGGGGAATCTAACTAAGCTCACAGTTTTAAAGCTTTCTTACAATCACTTCTCGGGAACTCTGAATTCCAAAAGTAGCCTCTTTGAGTTGCTCGAGCTCAGTCTAGCCTTTAACAACTTTAGTTCTTCACTCCCTTTCGAATTTGGTAACCTCAACAAATTAGAGACCTTGTCTCTTTCCTCTAATGGCTTCTTCGGTCAAGTTCCTCCCACAATTAGTAACTTGACCCAAATAACCATGTTAATACTTGGACAAAACACTCTCACTGGTCGTTTCCCACTTGTACAAAACCTAACTAAGCTCTCTCTTATAAGCTTCTACGGGAATCACTTCTATGGAACCATTCCTTCTGTCCTCACTCTGCCTTTCTTGGCAGAACTTGATCTACATGGAAACCAGTTCAACGGTTCCATTGAACATCTCAACTCCTCTTCGTTGTCAAGGCTAGAGCTTCTGTACCTTGGAAACATCGATTTGGAAGGAAAAATATTAGAGCCAATCTCAAAGTTCACCACCCTCAAATCTCTCGACCTTTCTTTCCTGAAAACAAGTTATCCAATGGACTTAAGCCTCCTCTCTTCTTTCAAGTTTTTGGAGTGGCTTGATATATCTGGTAACAATATATCTCCAGCTAGTTTAAGGTCTGATTATGCAATCCCATTGAACCTAGAGAGCCTGAGCTTGTCCCATTGCGGCATCAGCGAGTTCCCAAGGATATTAAAAACCCTTAAGAAGCTGGATTATATAAACTTATCGAGAAATAAATTCAAAGGGAAAATACCCGAGTGGTTATGGAAGCTTTCTCGTCTAAGCTCAGTCAACATTGCTAACAATTCTTTCACCGGTTTCCAAGGTTCAGCAGACGTTTTAGTAAATTCATCAGTGCAGATATTGGTTATTTGGTTAAACAATTTTGAAGGAACCCTTCCTAATCTACCACTCTCTATCAGCGTCTTCGATGCGGGTAGTAACAGTTTCACAGGAGAGATACCTCTTTCCATCTGCAACAGAAGCTCTCTCACTATTCTTGCTATAAGCTACAGCAACTTCACTGGTCCAATTCCTCAATGTCTAAGTAATTTTGCGTTTGTTACTCTTTGGAAGAACAATTTGCAAGGAAGTATTCCTGACTGTTTTGGTGTCGGTGACTTGGTGCGGACGCTTGACGTTAGATACAATCAACTAACCAGGTAGCTTCCAAGGTCTCTTCTGAATTGCTCCTCTCTGAGGTTTCTAAGTGTTGACAACAACAGAATCAAAGACACGTTTCCTCTCTGGATCAAGGCATTACCGGATTTGAAAGTTCTTGTCCTCCGTTCAAACACATTCTATGGTCCTTTATCTCCTCCTCATCAAGGTCCTCTTGGGTTTCCGAAGATGCAGATATTTGAGATATCAGACAATAAGTTCACTGGAAGCTTACCACCAAGATACTTTGAGAACTGGAAAGCAGCGTCACTTGAGTATAGACCAATTGGATTTACCTATACTGATAATATAGATTTCCAATACAAAGGAATACAAATGGAGGAACAGAGAGTCCTCACTTCCTACGCAACCATTGATTTTTCTGGAAACCTACTGGAAGGACAGATTCCTGAGTCCATTGGTCTCCTCAAAGCACTGATTGCACTCAACTTATCAAACAATGACTTGACAGGCCACATTCCATCTTCTTTGGCCAACGTTTCGGAGCTAGAGTCACTTGACCTCTCAGGAAACCAAATCTCGGGGACTATTCCTAATGGACTCAAAACCCTCTCGTTTTTGGCATACCTAAACGTGTCTCATAACCAACTCAAGGGTAAAATCCCACAAGGACCACAGATCACTGGGCAGGCTAAATCCTCATTTGAAGGAAATACAGGGCTTTGTGGTCTTCCCCTCGAGGAAAGCTGCTTTGGGACTAATGCACCACCAATACAACATCCTTAGGAAGAAGATGAAGAAGAGGAAGAAATGTTGAACTGGAGAGGAGTGGCGATAGGGTATGGGCTTGGAGTGTTTCTTGGGTTGGCAATAGCACAAGTCATTGCTACATACAAGCCTGAGTGGCTCATCAAGATCATTGGTCCTAAAACGCGTAGAAACCGTTAGAATTGTTCCAGTTTCAAGTTTGATCTTTCCTTGTATGCCATTATGGTCTTGTATTGAAGCATTTCCTTATGTTTGTTGTTTTCTATGACACTTTGTTTAATATCTTCTTCTATCAAATAAGAATGGTGTATTTTCTGTACTCATATTCATATGCATCTCTGTTTTTTTTTTTAAAATAGCAAACGCAAGCACCATCAGCAGGAGCACAAATACCCTAATCTAACGTGGCCCTGTTCATTATTGTATCTAGATGCAAATACTCAAATATTGTTCGTTTGAACACTTTTAAACCAGCATCTAGATATTGCATCTCGATGCAAAATTAAAAATATCTCAAAAATCTGGATATTTGAGATGTTGAAAAAAGTAGAGTCTGGATGCTACATTTGTATTTCAAAAATCAAAACACTAAAATATCCTTTAATATAATAGAAATACTGCAATAAAATTTATATTTATTATCGTTTTCCAAAATGTAAAATAAAACCAAAAATCGTTTTTTTTTGTCAAATTAGTAAAATTGAGTTTTTTCCTATAAAACCTCAAAATCGATTTTTTTTGCCAAAACCGCAAAATAAAGTTTTTCCACGAAAACCAAAAAATAACTTTTTCCATCAACTCGAGTTCTTCCGCCAAAACCAGAAAATCAAGTTTTTCCATCAAAATCGAAAAATCGAGTTTTTCCTTGAAAACCAGAAAATCTAGTTTTTCTGCCAAAACCGTAAAATCAAGTTTTCCCTCCAAAACCGAAAAATCAAGTTTTTTAATCAAAACCGTAAAATCAAGTTTTTCCTGCCAAAACCGAAAATCGAGTTTTTCTGTAAAAACCAGAAAATCAAATTTTTCTGTCAAAACCAGAAAATCAAGTTTTCTCGCTAAAACCGAAAAATCGAGTTTTACCACCAAAACCGTAAAATCGAGTTTTCTCGCAAAAACCAAAAATCGAGTTTTACCACCAAAACCGTAAAATCGAGTTTTCTCGCAAAAACCGAAAATCGAGTTTTCCCGCCAAAATCAAGTTTTTTGTCAAAACTGAAATCGAATTTTTCCACCAAAATCGTAAAATCAAGTTTTCTCGCCAAAACCGTAAAATCAAGTATTTTCGTCAAAACCGTAAAATCAAATTTTTCTATCAAAACCAGAAAATCAAGTTTTTTCGCCAAAATCATCCAAACCGTGTTTTTCAGTCAAAACCGTAAAACCAAATTTTTCCGCTAAAACTGAAAACTGGTATTTTACCGCTAAAATTGTGTTTTTCATCAAAACCATTTTTTGTTAAACTTTATTTTTAGAAAACTGTTAATTTGAATTATCATAAATAAATCATTTTAATTGTAAATAAAATATATAAATTGAAAAATATATTCTTTTAGTCATTTGAGATATTTTGCATTCAGATTTTTTTTATAAATACACAAACAAACAATAATGTATCTAAATGCTATATCCAAATGCAAAACCTAGTTTTAAAAACGAACAATATCTAAAAGTTGCATCTGAAAATTGTATCTAAATGCTGAATCTAGATACAACATCTAGATCAAGAAACGAACAGGCCTGTCTTTTATTTTCCTAATGAGAAAAATTAGTAGATTGAAGGAAACATGAGAAACCCAACATTAGACTTCTAGATTACAAAAAAAAGATGTCATCACCATTAATGTCAATGACAGAGTGAAGGAATATAACCACGAGCACAACAGCAACAACACAATATGCTGCACCACCACTCAAAGACAATATTCCATGGGACAAATTCTGAGAAAAATCTTGCGAAATGAAATGACTTACCGCAAGAGCGACAGCTAAGTACATAACCGCATGCTAAAAATATATCAAAAATGGTCTTTATTAAGGATTCTAAATATCCTCATCAACTATTCCGCTAAACCTACCTGACACTAAGTATCCTCCTCAACTATTCCGCTAAACCTACCTGACACTTAATTTCGTTAAATATGAAGCAAACAACGAGGCCTTCTCACAAACAAGCCGTACATAAAAAGAAACCTTAAAACAGAGATCCGGAACACAGTTTCGGCTATAAAGTAAATCCAATGAAAAGATGTAGCAATTAGTTGATGTAAAATCTCTTATCTGACGTACAAAAATAAGCGAAGCAGTGGCTTTTAAGCAAGTCCTTATGTTTTTCTTATATCTCTTTATCCAATGCTATGTTCTAATTTCAAGTGCTTTAAATTAAGAAAGGTAAATCTTTTGTAGTCATATTCATACATACATCGCTATTTGATTAGTATTCTTAACCCCCTAAAGGCTCCCACTTTCCTTCTGAAGATGATGAAGTCAAAACGGAGACACAAGCAAAAACAAAACAGAGTATGATGTATTCTTGAAACAACTTGGAGCCGCAACACAACAGGGAAACGTTTGTTTTTTGAATTTTTTGATTGAGGAAACTTTTTTCGAGGTAAACTGAAACTACGGATATACCCTTAATATTTTTTGATAATTACCATCATCTACTCCTCATAGGCGCAGGTTTTGATCCTCTGCTTTTAGCCATCCTTAGAAGTAACTGAAATCAACCCTAAAAAGACAAAACTCCAATCTCATGGATTCGCATGAAATTCTCTTATCTATCGTCTCTCAATTATAACTGAAATCAACCCTGAAAAGACAAAACTCCAATCTCATGGATTCGCAGAAAGAGAAGAGAAACTCATTTCAGTTTACTTTCAGAAGAGAGATTGTGAACATTCCTTATTTTTTCAAAGATGTTTTCGGTTTTTAGTAGTGGAAATAAAAAGTGCTGACTACACAAATTCGTTAAGAAATAATTACTTGTTTCGTCTTATTTGTATGGTCCTTGTTGTGATAGACTGATACGGAAACTAGGTGAGTGACTTTTTTGGTTTTGAAGTTTTGACAAAGTCTTCACCTAATCCACAAACAAATCAATGCCAGATCTTCTTAAAATTTTGAAAAAGTCTTCTCTAATACACAAACAAACATAGTGCCAATTCACTGTAAGGCCATATATAGTTTCTTAAATGCAATAAGTATAAGAAAATTCAAAAGAGAAACAAAGTATCAACAAAGTTTTAACGAGAAAATGTGGTTTGGTTGAAAGGCCTTGAAATTTGTGGATTGGTGGTGAGAACACTGAGAAGTTGTTTGATACATAAAACTCATTAAAATTAGAAATAAATAAAATTAATTTGAATTTATGAACCTTTTAAATTTTTCTAAAAGAATAATAGAAAGGTTTACATATTTAGTGAGCGTAGAGTCTCTGTTGATGGCTTGGGTTTCACACAAATAAAACTTTCATGAACTGTCCTTTGTTGCCACAGCCAGACTCTCTCTTATCGTTTTAGTTTCTGATAGTTCAGTTAACGTAGAGAAAGATGAATTTGGACAAAGTTTTCTCCAATCCACAAACAAACTATTTAATTATATGTTCTTCTTGTCTTTGATCATTTTGTTTACTTTATAACGTAGAGAAAGATGAATTTGGACCAAGTCTTCTCCAATCTACAAACAAACTATTTAATTATATGTTCTTCTTGTCTTTGATCATTTTGTTTACTTTATACCATTCTTTTGTAACTTTAACATATGTGAGATTTTTCAAACTACATCTGATCTCAATCCAAATTTTCTTTTGTAACTTCAACATATTTTTCTCTAAAAGTCAAGTTAAGAGGGTGACATAGCTCCAATGCAAAAACCACATATCTCTCTATTTATAATCAATCTTCTCTCTCACTTTTCTTACACTAATATCATTCTTTTAAAAAACATTTTGAAGAGGACCATGTCGGAGTCTCCTATGCGTTTGCATTTTCTCTTGATACTCTTGCTCTGTTGTGTCTCCCCTTCAAGCTTCTCAATTGTCACTCTTAATGATGATGTTGGTGGTCTTGTTGGTTGTCGTCCATGCCAGATTCAAGCCTTTACGCAGTTCAAAAATGAGTTTGATACTCGTGGTTGCAACCATAGTGACTTCTCTGATGGAGTCTGGTACCATAACTCCACCGGTGAGATCACGAAGCTACAACTAAGTGCCTCTCTCAGTGGAACCTTGAAGTCCAACAGTAGCCTCTTTGGATTGCATCATCTCCGTTACCTTAATATCTCTGAAAACAACTTCATCTCCTCTTCACTCCCTTTCGAGTTTGGCAACCTCAACAAATTAGAGGTTTTATCTCTTCCCTCTAATGGCTTCCTAGGCCAAGTTCCTTCCTCATTTAGTAACCTAAGCATGCTTTCCTTTTTAAGCCTAACCAATAACAAGCTCAATGGTAGTTTCCCACTTGTGGGGAATCTAACTAAGCTCACAGCTTTAGACCTTTCTCACAATCACTTCTACGAAACTCTAAATTCCAAAAGTAGCCTATTTGAGTTGCACGAACTCCGTCAGCTTGATCTTGCCTATAACAATTTCAGTTCTTCACTCCCTTTCGAATTTGGAAATCTCAACAAATTAGAGATCTTGTCTCTTTCCTCTAGTGGCTTCTTCGGTCAAGTTCCTCCCACAATTAGTAACATGACTTCGTTAACCGAGTTGTACCTTGCCAAAAACAGTCTCACTGGTAGTTTCCCACATGTACACAACCTAACTAAGCTCTCTCTTCTAAACCTTTTTTGGAATCACTTCAATGGAACCATTCTGTCTTCTCTCCTCACTCTGCCTTTTTTGACATATCTTAATCTACACGATAACCAGTTCACCGGTTCCATTGAACATCCCAACTCCTCTTCGTCGTCAAGACCAAAGCGTCTGTTCCTTGGAAAGAACCAATTTGAAGGAAAAATATTGTAGCCAGTCTCAAAGTTCACCACTCTCAAAGTTCTCAGCCTTTCTTTGCTAAAAACAAGTTATCCAATAGATCTAAGCCTCCTCTCCTCTCTCAACTCTTTGATGTACCTCAATATGTCCGGTAACAATATATCTCCAGCTAGTTTAATGTCTGATTATGGAATTTCAGTGAAACTAGAGAATTTGTACTTGTCCCATTGTGGCATCAGAGAGTTCCCAAAGATATTAAAAACCCTTAAGAATTTGGAGTTTATAGACATGTTGGACAATAAAATCGAGGGCAAAATACCCGAGTGGTTTTGGAACCTTCCTCGTCTAAGCTCAGTGGAGATTTCTGTGAATTCTTTCAACGGGTTCAAAGGCTCGGTGGAAGTTTTAGTAAACTCAGCAGTGCAGATATTAGATTTGGAGTCGAACAAGTTTGAAGGAACACTTCCTAATCTACCGCCATCTATTAACGTCGTCACTGCAGGTGGTAATGGTTTCACAGGAGAGATACCTCTTTCCATCTGCAACAAAAGCTCGCTTGTTCTCCTTGATCTATCCAACAACAACTTCACCGGTCCAATTCTTCAATGCTTGAGTAATTTTGGAGTTGTGAATCTCCGAAAGAACAACTTGCAAGGAAGTATTCCTGACACTTTTGGTGTAGGTACCTCTCTGCGGACACTTGACATAGGATACAATCAACTAACCGGGAAGATTCCAAGATATCTTCTGAATTGCACCTCTCTGAAGTTTCTAAGTGTTGACAACAATAGAATCGAAGACACATTTCCTTTCTGGCTCAAGGCTCTACCCAATTTGAAAGTTCTTGTTCTCCGTTCAAACATATTCTATGGTCCTTTGTCTCCTCCTCATCAAGGTCTTCTTGGGTTTCCAGAGCTGCAGATATTTGAGATATCAAACAACAAGTTTACCGGAAGCTTACCATCAAAATACTTTGAGAACTGGAAAGCACCGCTTACGATGAATGAAGATGGGAGTATATATATGATATACTCTAAGACTGTTCACGGACCAGTTGGATTCACCTATACTGATAATATAGATTTGCAATACAAAGGATTACGAATGGAGAAAGTGAAAGTCCTCACTTCCTACGTAGCCATTGATTTTTTTGGAAACCTACTTAAAGGACAAATTTCTGAATCTATTAGTCTATTGAAGGCACTGATCACACTCAACTTATCAAACAACGCTTTCACAGGCCACATTCCTCTGTCTTTTGGCCAATCTCACAGAGCTAGAGTCACTAGACCTGTCAAGAAACTATCTCTCTCAGAGTATTCCTAATGGACTCGTGACCCTCTCGTTTTTGGCATACGTAAATGGGTCTCATAATCAACTCAAAGGTGAAATACCACAAGGAATGCAGATCACTGGGCATCCTAAATCCTCCTTTGAAGGGAATGCAGGGCTTTGTGGTCTTCCCCTTGAGGAAAGCTGCTTTAGGACTCATGCGCAACCGACACAACAGCCTAATGAAGAAGAAGAAGAAGAAGAAGTTTTGAACTGGAAAGGAGTGGCGATAGGGTATGGACCTGGAGTATTGCTTGGATTGGCAATCACACAAGCCATTGCTTCGTACAAGCCTGCGTGGCTCGTCAAGATCATTGGTCCGAAAAAACGTAGAAACCGTTAGGATTCGAGTTTGACCTTTGCTTATATGCCATTACGGTCTTGTATTTAAGCAAGAAATTATGTTTGAAAATCACATTTTTTTATCGAAACCAACAAATTTCTTATTCCCGCCAAAGCTGATAGGGCTCAGGTTTTACCCAAATAAAACTACTGCAAGTGCATAGCAAAAGCAGTTCTAGTACAAGGGGTATCGAATCCCAAAGTAGTAATGCAAACTACACTATCGAATGTGAGTTCAGATTAAGCTAAGCAGAATGTAATGTATGTAATGCGAATGATAAAATAAAAGTAAGCAAGCGAATTTATTGTTAGATATAAGTTTCAGATGACTAAAGCGCTAAGTCAGGACAGTTCGCAGGTTGAATCCAAGAATGTAGAATGCATGAAATCAAGAATGATTAAGAACCGTTTTGAACATGAATCACTGATATATAACTAATCAATTCTCATTGCAGAAACTATCTATGTCTAAATCACAGAGTTTCAAATCTCTTTGCAAACCCTAACAATCTAAACATGCAATATGATCAAATTCAATTGTTCACAAAAGTTTTAAGCCAAATCTCTTTGCACTAAGTTGTTTTGCTCATCAAATACTAGTTCAGGTTATCAATAATGCTCTCACATATATTTAAAAACCTATGATTTTCGGATTTCTAGATGATGTGTCTCAGAAATTCGATTTTAAAGCAAGCAGAGATGAAAAACCAAAAGATATTCCTAACAGGTAGCGATTCTACAATCTCTTCATCAACCCTTGGAAAAGTCCTAACATTACTAGCAGATTACTCAGACATGATCATGAAATCACAAAGCATAACTGAATAAAATTGCATTAAGAGAAAGAGTAAAATAATAAGGGGGTTCAAAATCTTCCTAAAAGATTACATGATCTGTCTCCCCAAAAAGCTCTGAATAAATCTCTCTCTAGCTCTCTGAATTCTAAAATCTAAGATCCAAGCAGACAATGGCTGAAAAACCTAATAAATAGAGGCTAAACACGATATGAGGCCTTCTTGCAAATACTGGAACTTCTGGGCCAATTCTGCAAATAATCTTCATACTTTTAATAAATCAGTCACGCTCCTTCCTTGGTGGGTGACGAGCGTCACCATAAGGCATACTTTCTTCTCCGAGCTAGGCACTTCGTGGCTTCAACTTGCAATGCTCCAAAAAGCTTCAATATCCCCAATTATGCTTCAGACATGCTATAACCTACAAAGACTCTACTAGGACTCTAAAAAGACGAAAAAGACTCAATGAAAAGGATTTATATCATGGTTAAAAACCATGATATATCAACTCCCCCAGACTTAGCTTTTGCTTGTCCTCAAGCAAACATCAAACAAAGAACAGGATCGAGGTTTGAAAACAAGAAACAGTCAGTCAGACATCAGGAACACCACATTAGTTAGAACTTTCGAATCCACATACCACAGAGTCAACCCATGATCAAATTTCAGTCTAATCATCACAAGCTTAGCAAATCTCTCAAGCCCAGTCCAAATCCCTTCAAGAAATCCGAAATTTCTACTGTTAACTCCTTATTTTTTTTATCTAATTGTGATGTCTCATCAAAGTTTTATCATCTCAATCACTTACAGGTTCTTTTTCCTTCCTAAACAACTGAACAAAGCAATCTCAACACAGATATCCTATTTTCTCTTCCCTTGATCTTTTTCATTCTGATTTTTTCGATTTTTCAACTCTTTTTCTCATTTTTTACAGTCTAAGATATGGTGCTACTCAATACTTGTGTTCCTTGTGAGGAGACAGGTTCTTGAGTGTGTTCATTATTGTTGTTCCTTGTGAGGAGACAGGGTCATGAATGCACCATTCTTTGGACTTAAACTCTTAAAAACTACACCAGGGAAAATCAAAGAGAGACTGTATCTTAAACTTATTGTCAGTGCTGAAAGAGAGAATCAAGATCAATAAGAATCAAGCCCCAAGATAAGAAGTTTAAAGTTCATTAAGGTGGAGCTAACAGAAATTTTTCTAGATTCTATAAGAACCTAAACCTTTATTGCTAGACTGATCTACATATGACTTTCAACTTAGTAAGGCTTGTAATCAACTACTGTGGCAATGGTTCTTATAAGCAAAACCGTCCTATGGTTAGTTCCAAGAAAAACTGACAATTTCAAAATTTTGACTCTATAAAAACAGGTTTTTGACTCAACTTTAAGACTTTATAAACATGACACAAAGCACACAACGTCAGTAACCACCTCCCCTAGACTTAAACAACACTGTCCGCAGTGTTATAAAGCCAAGAGTTGGTCAAAAATATGCATGAGAACTTGTAAAACCGTGTCAGAAAAATGGTACCTCGTGAAGGGACGGGTGACGAGCATCACTAGCTTGGTGACAATCGTCACCATTTCTGATACTCCAGAATCGACATGTTGGATGTGTAAATGTAATGCCATCATGCGTGCTTCGAAGTCAAACTGTTCACAAGAGCACTCAAAACACACATCAAAAACATCCAAACAAAGCATAATCCATGGTCCAACAAGTTCACAAGACATCATCAAAGCAAACTAACAAACTGACTCTCTTTTTGTGTTTTTTTTTTTTTTTAGAAAACGAAAATAGACTAGAGTATGATAGCTAGATAACTTACTAGTGGATTGCCTCCCACTAAGCGCTTGTTTAAAGTCATTAGCTCGACTTTGATTGGCTCTTTAGACAGCTGGTGGAACAGAAGGTTGCATTGAATACCTTGGAGAAGAATGTCTCCTCATCCATGGTGGTTTATAAGCAGTAGATGCATGAACTCTTCCAAGGAAGTGAGGTACATCAGTAGGGCGGGTTGTGACTATGGGTGGAAGACTTCTTTTTCCTGCGGAATCATCAAAAGAAACACCAAGCTTTCCACGAGAATATCATTGCTTGCATAAGTGTGAAGCATCTTTTGCACCTTTTAAGTTCTTATTGATGAGATTATGAGGTTTGGAACTGGTTCCAGGAAGTGCATACCTTTGCTTAGTTGCAGGTTTCTGGGTTGTGGAATGTTGAATTTTTGGTTTGGAAACATCAGATGGACTTGTAGCTGTAAGATCATGTCGATCCTTTGTGTCCAGGTTGGTGACGAGCGTCACCAGGTCAGTGACGGTCTTCACTGACCCTGCAGTTCGAGTTTCTGCAGTTTTCCTGCAGCTCAGCTCTGCAAGTCTTGCCTCCATCACAGACACGTCTTCCTCCAGCAACTTGGCATTCATTGGAACCTCTTTTTCAAGTCCAGTCATGAAGATATGATCCTCACTGCAATCCTCAAACCCAACAGCTTCTGCAGAAGTTTGAGATATTGCCTCTTCAACAGCCATCTTGTTCACTTGCCTACTTGTATCAGA